TCCGCGAAATGGCGACACAATGAACTTTGTAGTATATAGCCAAGAAGTAACACTCTTCAAACTGCCTCATATCAAGTTTCAGCCAAAAGCGACGCTTAATTTACGTATGGCATACGTTTAAAGTAAGCGTGGCAGCAGCTCACCATGACAATGCTCCAACTCACACCTCCATATGTCGCAATGGCAAAATTGCACGAATTAAGGTTCGAATCGCTGCTCCATCCACTCTATTCTCCTGATTTGGCCCCTGGACTTCTTCCTATTTCCAAACCTCAAGATCTGGCTCGGGGAAAAGAAATTTTCGTCCAATGAGGAGGTCATTGCCCCTGTGGATACATATTTTGAAGGCTTCAAGATTTCCTATTTTCCTGAAGGGATAAAAGAATTGGAACATCACTGGATTAAGCATGTAGAGCAGAGCTGAAAACGATGTGCACATTTCGGGCGAAATTCAAAAGGTAACACCCACCGTCCCCCTGCCATCGCTCCGCACTCAATGGCCGAGGCGACGATCGCGGTATGTTCAGATCCATCGCTATATAAGAAATCAGATGGAGCGCACCCTTTCGCGTCATATTATCATTAAAATTTTTTCCTCATTTAATAATCACTTTAAAATATATATGTTTATGTGTTTTATATATATATATATATAAATAATGCTGTCCTACTTTGCGGGTAGAATCATGCGGATTTTCGATGAAGGATTGTAAAACATCTAATGATCTTTCTGGATTTGTTGATGATGCAGGTTTACCTGATATTGCACGATTTTCGCATTATCAGTTTCCTCAAAATGCTTTATTGTTCTTTCAACAGTAGATTTTGAAATGGCAATATCTTGATTACGAAATGTTTCATTAAAAAGCTTTACATCATATTACAGGTTACGTGAAAAGTTCGCGGAGCGAAATTGAAATAAAGAATACCAAATTCTAAAAATGATTTTATTTTTCAATATATTCTCCAATAACTTCAATACACTTGGCCCAATGGCTCTCCAATAATTTTATTCCATCGCGGAAGTGTATTTCTGGAAGGTCTGCGAATATGCCTCTACGGCTGCTATAGCTTCTTCATTCGACAAAAAATGCTTTTCACGGAGGAATTGTTTCAGGTTTCGGAGTAGATAGAAGTCGCTGGGTGCCAAATCTGGCGAATATGATGGATAATCAAGCAATTTATACTTCAATTCATTGAATTTAGACATTGACAAAACACTTGTGTGAGCAAGTGCGTTGTCTTGGTGAAAAATGATTTGTTTATGCTGCAAACCAGGTCTTTTCTCACGAATTTTTGCGTCCAATTGATCCAAAAGGTTACAATAATATTCAGAGTTAATTGTTTTACCTTTTTCCAGATAGTCAATTAACAAAATCCCTTTACCATCCCAAAAAACTGATGCCAAAACCTTTTTTGCCAATCTTTCATGCTTTGTTTGCTTTGCAGCTGAACATCCAGCTTCAGTCCACTGTAAATGTTCCTGTTTCAATTTAGGATCATGGTGATAGATTCAAGTTTCATCCATAGTTATAAAACGACGCATAAAATCGGTTTTATTCTTCTTAAAATGATCCAAATGACGCTGAGAAATTTGCTTCCGAGCAAATTTTTGTTGAATTGTTAACGTATGCGGCACCACTTTTCCAAATACCTTTTTCATTTGTAATTCTTTATGCAAAATATGCCGTACCCGTTCATTTGAAATGCCTATGGCAGTGCTGGGAATTAAGTGAGCAGCACGAGCCGATTTCAGAGGCAACATCCGCGCTTCCCCCACTACCTCTCGAAGCGCGGCGGCCGATCGCGCGTGAGATTCTCTACCTCAGGAACGGTCTCATATACGATATAAGTTGGGATCGTACCCTCCGTCAAATCAAAATTAAAATATTTATTTATCCTAAAATATAATTCTTACTCTCATTGGTGATGAAATATTACGCTTCTATTTTTAATATAATAAATTCTCTTTAATAATAATATAGTGATGTAATAATTAAGAATATAATTATTAAAGTTTTGCCAATCGATTTCCACATCACCCATGAGGTACTATTGCGTATTTTTAAGTGGTTTCCCCAGTAGACCTACTCCACTAAAAATTAATGAAAATGAAATATATGGCTCAACAGGAAAACGAAATGCATCGTGAGAAATATAAAAACGAAAGAGGAAGAATAAGTACAGAGCGCAAAATGGCCAATTTTTACAGAAATATTAATTGGATTTTCTTAAAAAAAAACGCATCAACAATAGTACCTCATGGCTGATGTGGAAATCTATTAATAAAACTTTAATAATTATATTCTTAATTATTGTCATCATTATATTATTATTAAAGAGAATTTATTATATTAGAAATAAAAGCGTAATATTTCATCATTAATGAGAGTAAGAATTATTTTTTAAGGATAAAAAAATATTTTAATTTTGGTTTGACGGAGGATACGATCTCATCTTATATTGTACATGCGACCGTTCCTGAGGCAGTGTCTTACGCGCGATCGGCGGCTCGGCCGCCGCGCTTCGAGAGGTAGTGGGGGAAGCGCGGGCGTTGCCTCTGAAATCGGCTCGCGCTGCTCATTTAATTCCCAGCACCGGCCTATGGTATGAGCAATTTCACGCGTAGTTACACTTGGATCTTCAGAAACAATAACATGTATTTGCTCAATGATTTCTGGTATTGATGCGCTTTTTGGACGTCCACTGCGTGGATCATCTTCAATGCTTGTACGGCCACGTTGAAACTTAAGTGCCCATTTACAAACCATTGTTTTTGAAGAAGCAGATTTCCCTAACACATTTACCGTCTCGGAATGAATTTCCATTGCCTTTAAACCTTTTTAATAAAGGACTCAATCACTGCACGCTGTTTCAAATTTTCCATTGCAAACAAATATACTGACACGTCAACTTCAATTGGCTTGTAAACACAGAAAGAATTGACAGATGGAAATGAAACCTAACCTAGATTCATGTGAAGAATAATTCTATATAACCGACTACAATTTATAATTCTACCGTTTAATTACAGATGCCGCTCCGCGAACTTTTCACGCAACCTGTACGATCTTAATCGATTACCCCATCTTCTCATCATCAGAAAAGATATATGTTCTCGTTCTGAAAGACGTAGCATATTGACAAGCGGAAGAATTAGTTAAATCGAATAAATTAATATCAATTGGATCAATTTAAAATTTTTCTAAAGAGAATGCCGAAGAAGAATGACTGAATGAAATTGATGCAAGTAACGACAGCTACGAATGCTGTTTCTTAACTGTTGCTCGAATTCGAAAATCGAAATATTTAATATTCCTTTCACTTTGTATTTTAAGAGAAAGTCGAAATCGCGCAGGCGTACAACCTCTATGCGGTACACCTTGGGTAATGCTAATGCCTTCAGTACTGTAACTTTTAAATCTTGTAACCCGCAAAATACTTAACGAAAAAACATTCAATTATAGTGTTTTGGAAAGTCCTCGAGATAAGCTACAAGAATGTATAATGAAAACTAGGAAGTTCTGTTTAAGAAATTTAAGATGACCTTCACGTGACCTTGGCAAAGCTATTCAAAGTCATACTGATATTGCAATACAATACGTTACTTGAAACCCTACAACTTTTGTGTGAAACATTTTTTCATAAAAATTTTCGATTTATTTCGAGGTCTCAGTATTTTTTCCTCACCCTGTATATCATGATTAAATTATCATATATAGAAATATCAATTTTTTTGTCGTAAAAGAAATGTCCTATCTAACATTTTTTGAATAAACATTTTAGGTAAGGAGTAACTTTTCTAATGTCTAAGACTTGTATATGTTGCGTGACTAGTTATTCTCAAACAGTTATTTTGCAATTGCTTACTATAAGTTTTATGAAATTTATTCGATTCTAATTATTAACAGTCTATACTTTGTTACGTCTTTAAATAGTTATAAAATATCATGTACACAAACACCGCTCATCATTGATTACTATTTCTTCATCGTATATATTTAGCATGCGTAATAACTATATTCTTTTTTGTTATTGGATTACCAGTGTTGAATATTAATCGATTAAAATTTTAATTGACTAAAATAATTGGCAAATCAATATTCGTATTTAATCGTTCCATATGTAATAATGAATAATTAAATCTTTCAATTAATGAAATTAGTTGTTATTGAAATTAATTATTATTATTAATCAATTTACACTAAATTAAATCATAATAATAAATTGAAATTATCATTATATGTTTATATATCATTATATATATATCATTATATATTATTATTATGTAATTATATGTTTATATATTATTATTATGTAATTACAATTTATTCGATATTAATTTTGATTATCTTAGTTGACTAGATTTTCAAGCATAATTCAATCAAATAATGCTCAATATTATATATCAGCATAACTATCAGTTTGATCGCGAAGTTTGCTTCGACGATTGGTTTTGATATCTACAACCGCGCACAAGAAGCACGCGAGAGTTTGTCTCCGCGAGTAAACTCTTCGGAATCAGCAGCCACGATAAAACGGTCGAGCGAATCAAACGAATTGTGGTCGTTTATATTGTCTCTCCGTAATTCACATGTACATAGACTTTCGTCTCCGGAACGAAGAGATTGGCCGCGAACCGATGAAGAGCCACGACACGAGTCGTCGTCGTTCGTGATCCGCGTCAATCGAGACTGTTGACTGAAGTTCAAGGTATTCCGTGATAATTCATCGATCACGCGCGCGACGGGTGGCTGCTGGTGTGCGAGCGCGATCTCACGAGTCGCGACAAAAATCCACCGCGAATCCCGATCTCGCTGCACACACACACACACACACACACACACACATATATATATATATATATATATATATATATATATATATACAGCCGCAGACAAGCATGCCGTACTGAGGAATAGATATGACTAATAGACACCGCTTGTGATGTATGCTACGCAAAAAGAAGTGATAGTCGCTCGGCCGTTGAGCTGATTAGTCTCTCATGCGACGATACGACCCGTGCCGTATCCCATGCGTGCGCGGTTTGTTGACCCAACTTTCAACAATGAGCCAGATAAGAAGCGGCGCGAAAAAATGGCCACTCACCCGCCGATGACGGCGGCTTTAAAACGCGCGACTTTCTGTCGTCCACCGCCGGTTGTCAGCTGCCACCGTCGTCATCACCATCATCATCATCATCATCATCGTCGTCGTTGTCGTCGTCGTCGTCGCTGTCGTCATCATCTGCTGCGTCCTCTTATTCTCATCTCACATACACCTCCATCCGCAGACTTTAACTTGTCGTCGTGTGACTAAGCGCTGCGTGGCTGACCGAGTTCTTTTTTCCTTTTTCTCTTTTCGCAAGTGCGTTGGACGCGCACGCGGTTATACGCGAATACAAGACAAAGCGGAACACAGCGGAGCGGAGCGGAGAGAAGCGCAGCGGCGGCAAGGCGGAGGGTTTGCAATCGTAAACGATCAAGCGAGTGCACGTGCTTTTCGTTCGCGAGTTCGTTGATTTTTACACGTGAACGAGTGCAAGAACGCGTATATGCCTCGATACGGTGCCGTCATGGGTTCAATGAAGTAAGTATCTACTATGGGATTTCTTAATTTTTTCTGTCAATTGCTACGTCGAGACATATCTTTGGTGTCTTGCGTGTATATGTGTGTCTGTATTTTTTTCTTTTTTTATAAAGTTGGTAATTTTTGCTTTCATAAAAAAACTCGTTTGATGAAATTATTTAGGCCTGTTGGCAGTAGCACACATATATTTGCAATTCAATATTGTTTGTAGTGTATAGGTTTGAGGATTTTCTTCTTTTTTATCTAGAGATCAATGTGATGGTGATTAGTAGATTTCTATGATCATTTATTTAACAATTTGCTACCACGCAGTTCGATATAATGGTCCGGCTGAAAGAAGTGGGAGTTCATGAAAAAATGCAGTCACGAAACAAGAGCGCTTCCCGGGCGCTTTCTAAATTTAACATGTTTAACGAGATTGTAACTTTATGTAGTGATATACTCGTAGAGCTACGCGTATCGTGCCGGAACATCGAGCTGCTTAATGTGATATGTAAAAATTGCCCACTTCATTTTTTTTATACTTTTAGTTATATCATGTAGCGTTACATCATGTGATAGTGAAAGTGATAACTATATACAGAAGTTTGTGTAAGGATGCTTCTTAATATAAAATTATGAGCGCTTTTATCCTCGACGATGTATATAAACTTTCGTCATGTAGACACAGCTTTCAATGTCGACGCGCACTAATTTTCGTGCGTATGTAGAATATAAATTATACAGTCAAGTACGCGAGAGAGACGACGAGTTGTTTGGAAATAAGCTGCGTGTTGTCAAAACGATGTCTAGGTCGGCGCCTGCGTGCGTTGAATATGTGGTGGCAGAAATGCCGATGTACCATATCGTCCCCTCGAATCGAAATACATATTAAATACATCAAAATACATATTAACAGCCGTACATTATGCATTGGAGATTTGCCCTTATCAGACGTTATCGCATAGCGAATTCGGTGACCTGCATTAGCAAGCATTGACAGTGCGGACATTCCCGCACATTTGACTGATGCTCTCTGTCTCGATACATTAAGATCGTTGTTTTATCGTATTTGATTGCAGTGCTTTGCTGTCGTATAATTTTCGTATAATTATTTCTTGATGGTTTTAACAAAGCCACAAGAGACGTTTAAAAAGAAACTTTCCCAATCCTAGAAAACTTTTCCATCGAAAGATGTTACCCGTCTTCTTAAAAGATGTTTTACCATTTCTTCCAGAAATTATGCAGCGAAACTCAAGAGAAAAAAAAAATTTCAGAATTCTCTGTTTGCCGTGCAAAAATAGAAAATACTTTTGATTTACTAAAAGTTTTTATAGGTGGATTAGATTAGGATAGATTGGATTTTGATGAAGTTGTATAAATTTATTATAGCTTCCTATTTATTATAGCTTACTACATTTCATAATGCAGTGCATTATTCGTAATAAAGATAATTTAGATGGTTTTCTTTTCTTTGTTACAATTACCCTCCTTAATTCAATTTATTTTAGCTTCTTAAATTTTGTAAATTTCTAATTGTTTTATTCTATAGTTATTAAGTATGTTGATTGTTGTTTTATCTTAATATTCTGCTAATTTAATGCCACTAGAATAGGTCATATTTATTTCCAGCTTTTAAGCAAGTGGTTTTTCTACAAAGCGCACAAGATCTGAGGTCTAAAAGTTTAAGCTGCAAAATCGACATATCTGTTGAAAAATACAGAATATGGCAAAAATATAGAAATGTACCATAATTAATTAAATTAATAAGAATGTTTCTTTTCAACGGCTTTCTTATGCGATAACAGTATCTTTTGACTTAGGTAATTTAATATAAGTGTTTTCCTTTTGTAAGTTAAGCTTCAAGGAGCGCAAACAGGTAACCGAGACCTTATCTCTATCGTTGAATTTCAATCCGACTTCGCTAGACACATGACTTCTTGAAATTAATTATTAAGCTTGATATCGAAATAATTAAATTGTGTGGTTACAAGTGCCGGCCTCTCGAAATTTTAGCTACTCGAGAAAGAAGGTTCGAGAGCCCGTCGTAAAATGCGCGATTAAAGTTCGTCACATTGGCGAACCGCCCGTGAATGCACCGGCGGCTCCTTTGCCATAGCCCAGCATGATAGAATTCTCGGTGTAGATTTAGCATTCGTGCTTTGTTTCACCTTTTCATTAAACCCCTCACGTATGCTTTTCTCGTACGTGCGTGCATGGTTCATTGCCACGGTATGTCGGCGACGACCAAGGTTTGGTAACCGAGTTTTTCAAGGAGCAATAAACGCTGGATTGATGAGGCACCGATGAGACTATGCTTTCCAAGTTATCTGTTTTATTCAATTCTCACGGTGATTTTCGTAATCACTCCTTTAGGAATTTCGTTTTCAAATTCACACATAGCATTTGTATCTAATCGACCGCCTCGTTGTGCGAAACAGATACAACGAAATTCAAAGAGATAAGCGATCGACGACAACGCGAATCTTCGTTCGTGCGATTATTCCGGAGTTCGTTAATTTGTATCGCTCGTATAGTCGCGCGTAATAATTATTCACAGGAATGAGATTAGCGATCTTGTCTGTTGTCTCATCGATTAACTCATCGATATGTCTCACCGATCGGCTCAATCTTACACTCATTTTCTCGATAACGATTAATCTTATCGTCTTGAGAAAAGAAAAACAACGAAGAGAAAACATGGTGCGGATTGAAGACGAAGATATAGTGCGGTCTTTCCGTCAGCGTTGGCTCGTAATTTATCTTTATACATTTGTACATTTCCTCCACGTATAACGAAGCGTTTTTCATTTTTCCTCATATGCTCATAAACACGTTTTGCGGTAATATTTTTGCAGTTGTAGTGGCATTCTTACGAGGTATGTTGCAAAACGAATAATTTCTGAACGGCAACGGCAACGGCAACGTAGCAGCGAGTTTTCATTGTTTGTGATCGGCATAACTCGGCCTCGAACGATTGAGTTTCTAATGCCCAATTGTTGTACGTGCCGTTGTTCGAATTTATCTTCTAATGCTTACATCTTATGTCATTTCACTTAGCTCGATCTTAATACATAAGTACATTTCGTTCTAATATTCTTTGAACATTTTTGTATGTATTTCGCAACTCTGCTGATGTCCAATGAGAAGAATGAACTTCTAGGAATTTCTCAGAAACAAGTTCTATTATTGGACTATCGGCTGGATAAGAAGGCGCTATACATACGTATATACAGCGCTTTCTTATGCGAGGTTTAATGCCAGTTCTACAATAGATGTCGTAAGTTGTAAGCCGTAAGAAACGGCCAATCACAGTTGATTATTACAAGAATATGGCTATGATTGACAAGCCTTCTACAACAAGCCGTTAGTCTTGAGCCACAAGCAAATCGATCAATTATAATCGATTATTCCAAAAAATTATCGATCGGAATTGGTCAATTTGCTTGTGGCTCAAGACTAACGATTTGTTGTAGAAGGTTTAAGCGTCGTCTACAATGGCAGCAGGAGTAATAGATTAAGGCTGTAAGACATCGGAGTAAGTTGTTTTTCCAGGAATATAAGGCGTAGAGTAAGATCATATCTGAAATGGTTGAATTCCATTTCCTACAGTTTGCTCCCTTATTCTGAGCCAATGAGAGTTCGGCAGCAATACATACGCGATAGAAGGTATGCTGGTTGACGCTGATTGGCTTATTGTAATATTTACTATACGGCATTATAGACTTTCGGTCGTAAGGAGGTTTTAATTCTATAGCCTAGGGCTGCGTTCCGATATTCACTGCTAGCACTGAAAATCTATAGTATAGGTGACATAAACTATATATTTTCAGTACTGGCAGTGAATATCGGAACGCAGCCTATGTCTAAAAGCCACAGACTTCTATATTATACATTAGACCAGAGCTCGGCAAAATGTGCACGCGACGGCCGATTTTCGACTATCTCCGCCCACCGCTATTCCCTTTACCTCGCCGCTACGCGCGCTGCCTACAAGCCGCTCGAGTCTCAGGAGCGTGTTTCCAATAGTTTTCCACGTCACCTATGAAGTACTATTGTTGACGCGTTTTTTTTTAAGTGGTATTCCCAGTAAGCCTAATCCACTGATGACTGTAACAACCCGTAACTAATTGAACAGAAGCGAAATAAAATATGTTAAATGAAGAATATTCAATTCGATTTTCGGCGTCTTTTATTGGTAAGAATGGAAACGTCAATTTGGATATTGCATGTAGCGAGCCGCATAAGACGTGGTAAGGAATCGTCGCCTAAAGAAGAACACTTCTCATTTTTTATAAACTTCATTTTTGAAAAATGAAGAGGCCTACTGGGGATACCACTTAAAGAAAAACGCGTTAACAATAGTACCTTTTGTCAACAATAAAACATTTTGCCGAGCTCTGCATTAGACTGATAAGTTGTCTCTTTAACATGTCCCCTAAAAGTATGTACTAAAATCCCGCGCATGTGCATATTCACTGATCATTATTTTCTTAAATGGAAATCCGAATTTTTTAATATAACATCTTTTTCTACCAATTAATTTGAACAACTTTTGTCTAAAACATTTTCTTATTTGCTTAATTTTTTTTTAATATTTAAAGAAGACGATAACTTTTTCATATTTAACTTACGATATCTTGCTAACTATTTGTTGGAAAAAAATAGTATTAGACTTTTTTATTTTATTTGATCTCAAAAATATATTGTTACAGTAGTGCCCTAACTGTTGTTAACTTATCGACCTTTGGAAATTTCAAATTGGAAATTTCAAAATCATCAAATTAACAAAAATTAAGGTACTATTGTAACAATATATTCTTTAGACCATAGAGACCATAGATAAATAGAATAAAAAGGCCTAGTACTATTTTTTCTTTCGATAAACAATTAGCGAGATATCGTAAATTAAATATTAAAGAAGGTTACCAAATTTTCCTTAAATATCTCAAAAAATATTAGGTAAATAAAAAAATGTTTCAAATAAAAGTTGTTCAATTTAATTGGTAGAAAAAGATAAT